TGAAATACACATATGTTTAAAATTTGGTTTGGCTTTGAGAAAGGAATAATAATTGCAATCATCTCCATTAACCATGTATGCTTACTATATAGCTCAGTAAAATATGCTTCTCACTAAAAAAATTATTCTATTATAAATTATGCTTCATGAGAAGGAAGACTTTTGTTTGATTCACTATTCTATCCCTGGCTATGCATACATATTGAGCTCCCATTGTGTGTCTGAACCTGTCCTAGATGCTGGATTCATAATTGACCAGCTGTGAGTAAATGAGAGAGAAAAAAAAAAAACCAACCCCAAACCAAATGCCATAGCTCTATCTTTAAAGAGCTTACATTCTACTAGGAGAGATTGTAGTAAGCAACTAACTAAAATGTAAAGTAAGTCACATGGTGTTTAGTGCTAAAAAAAAACTACAGAGAAGGGATATAGGGAAGCAAAAGTTGCATTTGAATAGGGTGCTTCTTATATTAGCATGGCCACTTCTGTTTGTTATGGTTCCTGTTTTCGTGTTATATCTTTCACAATTGCCAACCTATTTGTATATTTGAATCTAAAGTATATTTTCTGTTGACAGCATATCGTTGGATCTTATTTTATATCTAGCCCTACAATCTCTGCTTTTTGATTAGAGTATTTAATCCATTAATATTTGATATTATCACTGGTGTAGTTGAATTTATATTTGCCTGATATTTTTGCCTTCTAAATATTTCATGTTTATGTCTTTCTATTCCTTCTTTATTGCTTTCTTTTGTATTATGAATATTTTCTAGCATAAAAACTTAACTAATTTAATGAAATTCTCTAAATATAAAAACTTAATGATTACTCTAGAGCTTACCTGATTTACCTGAGTTTATCAGAATAATCTTCATATTTTTACCAACAATATCAGTGAGATATAGAAACATTGCCTTTAAGGGTGATCTCTCAGCACTCTTCTGCTTCCAAACTTTATTGAATACATCTACAAAAAAGATGTAGAAAAGACTCTCCTTTATCTTCCAGGGATTCAAAAAAGTCATGCCAGCTTGCACTCTGTCTTTAAATATCTATGAAAAGTTAAACTGAGTTTTTCTTTTATGAACATTTGTGACTACTTCCTCCTCTTCCCCATGACTCTACCAATGATGATTTAGTTCATTAGATTTCTTAACAAATTCAACCCTCTGATGGGCTCTGCAAATACTATTATTATTTACATTATTTTATATGTTCTTCTTGTTAATTGTATCAGTATTGTTCTCTTGTGATTGTATCCTAATGTTGTAGCCACACATTCCGGGAAACAAACTCACTCGGAAGGACAATGCAGATAGTGGAGTGCAGTTTATTATACCGGTGGGTCCAAGGCAGAGTCTCCCCTTAGCCAAGGACCCCGACCAGTTTTTGTGAAAACCTTATATACCCTAAGTGTACATGCTCAAACCCACCTTCCCAAATTCTCTGAAACTAGTCTGTACAAAGGAAAAGAAAGATACAATCAAAGTTAACCCATGATTCGCATGCCTTAAACCCGTGATTCATATGCTTTAAGCCTAGGTAGTTAACAGTGGACAATTATCAATAGGCCTGTGGTCATACCCCAATAAGCACAATAGGATTTATGATTCTATTCAGTTACACAGATAATTAGGGTATTCTTTTAGGCAATGGAGAGTCTAGGTACGAGCCCAGGGGCTCTCCCATCCGGGGGGTCTGGTTTTCCAGTTGGTATGTTCTTTCCATAGATACTGGGCATAGAGCTCAAAGTCCACAGTCCAGCCCAAGATACAGTCCTGCTTTCAAGATGGAGCCTGTTCTGTCTGCTTCCTCCCTTACTAAGTGAAAGTGAAAAATAATTTTTACAACCAATGCAAAAATAAAAATCACATGGTTTTTATCTATAGTGGTGTCCACTGAAGAAAGGAGATGCCAAATTAAATTCAGTTTTATAAAGGTAATTATTTTAGCTGTCCAATAGGTAGTTTTCAGATACTAGCTTTCAGCATTCTAAAGATTAAGCTTAGAATAATGACATGAAATAATGGAAAGCACATCTTTAAAACAAGCTACTGTAAGTATTACTTCTCGTGAATATTTTTGGGGATGAACAACATAAATTTGATACCATTCCTAGAGTTCCTTGAGATGCTCAGGTCAGATTTAAAATGTTATGTTGGATTATATGCTACTGCTTTCAGAGGAAAAATTATAGAATACTGCTGGTGATGGTGTGTATGTTTGTGTGGAAGAGAAATGTTGGCCAGAACATAAAATGGCCTGGAAACTGTGCTATGAGGAACAATTGAGAGAACCTCGGATATGTTCTCAAAAAAAAAAAAGAAAGAAAGAAAGAAAAGGAAGAAAAATGTCTTTATGTTTACAGTTCTATCATGTGGAAGACTAGAACTGTTATAAATCTTTGCAATTATCATCTTGGTACATAAATGTTTCTTTGAATTTTAGAATATTTCCTCAGAATAAACATTTATAAGTTAAATTATTGACTGTAAGCATGCTTAAGCTCATGAGTTATACTGCAAAATTACACTGTAGAAAGGTATAAGTTTTTACTTCCACCACCAGTATATGAGTTTCTTTTCTACCATATCTCTACTTAGTATTAATATTTTTTTTTAATCTTTGCCAAGGTAATAGATTGAAAAATGAAAAAATAATTAGGCTCCTTGTAGGAGATTTGCATTTTAAAATGTACTGTTTTCGTGTTTGCCTTTCTGGAGCTTCACTTCTGTTGTTCTCATTTCAAATAAAAATTTCTGGGTTTTTATGAGGCTACATGCAAATTTCCCTAGAGAAGAATCAACGAATCATACACTCTGGGACGCCTACTTCTCTTTCTCTTCAAGGAACTTTGTCACACCTCTGGCTCCTCCCTGAGTCCTGCCAAATGGTCTGTGTGTTGGGTCGAGAGCCTCTAACATCACACAGGGTAGCTGTGTCAGTGCCAGAGAGAGGCCTTTAAATGCCCATTTTCATTTTCCAACCATGGACTGGCTTTTTCAGCTAGAATCCCCAAGTGGGTAATTGTTTCCAGGTACTTTCAAAAACTTGTGTTTGAGATTGAAATGGAAGATCCTGAGGATTTGGATTGTATTTAAATCCTGAGGAAATAGCAGCACTTACTATGGCAACATTGGAGAATCTAGAACAGGTGATTACATTGCCTGGAGTTATTTTTGAAACATCTACTTTTTCTCAGTCTGTGTGTTTCTAAAGTTGCTCAAAGAATTAGTCAACGTGGTTTAGAAGGCACAGCAATACAAAGCATATGACAAAACACCAGAAACCAAAACCTTGTAACTTTTGGCCTTGGGATACCCATGAGGCTTGCTTCTCTTTTCCTCCAAAGAACAGCTAGAATTTGTTTTTTTAACTCTGAGGATTATGGGCTAAAACTATTTGAAAATATATCTCTACATTACTGCTAGGGCTGGTTATCAAAATAGGACCTTCAAAAAAGGGTCTTTTGATCTGAATATTAAAGTAAGATTTATGTCTCCTATTCTATATCCCTTTGCATCCAATCTAAATAACCATCAGATTAATATACAACATTTTACTTTTTTTTTTTTAATGGAGAGAAGCCTCTGACCTTATACAGTTAAAAATCTTATTTTCTACACTGATGTCTGTAAAAAATGACCTGACTCAGAACTGACTCAATAGAAACTCAAATTGAGCTCTCAGTCCTAACTCTGGGTACTTGCCTCTGTTATGCAAAGTACTCACCTCTCTTTCTGACTCCAGAAATAGCAAACAGGTTGCAAGAGACTTGGCTGAAGAAAGGAGACACAAAGTCCCTCTGCTCCTGATCATTGTCCATTTGGCTTGGGGCATGAAACTCTTTCCAAAGGAAAGATGACCTTTGCTTCCAACCTATCTGTGTGGGTGGTTTTGGAAAAATAAAATACATCCATTAGCTTCTACCAAGGCTAAAGAGATTGGATAAAATTACAAGAGGTACAAATCCTTTTTATAGGAACATTTAGGGCTATGAATAAAATAAATAAAAATGAGGTAAAACATAGTAGCAGTGGAGGAGAGAAATCAGAAAAGACCAATTCAGAGTTAAAGAGAATGGGAGAGAGCTTAAGAGGACGGAGACGAGCTTTATCCTCTGCTTTAGACAAGGCAGGATAATTTATGATTTGAATATAGATATAAACATCATAAAGCATGGATATTTTTTGGAGGGTTCAAGTAATATAATGCCCTCTTTTCTACTATGAGTAGTCTGCCTGATTCAGGGTTGAAGGAAAAAATAAAGTGATTGTTGTACACATGGTTGTGCTGAGACAGTGTAGACTCTAAATAAGCACAACCTCTGTATTTGTATTTTGTTTACAATTTCTACAAGTATTTATCAAGTACTTTTACCTGCAAGACATCATACTAGGTATATGAGGCCTTGAGTGGCCCCAAAACATGATTAAGAAGTAAAAGAAACACAAGCATATATATGGATGTGTGTGTGTATATATACTGTGGTTTAGAAGGCACAGCAATACAAAGCATATGACAAAACACCAGAAACCAAAACCTTGTAACTTTTGGCCTTGGGATACCCATGAGGCTTGCTTCTCTTTTCCTCCAAAGAACAGCTAGAATTTGTTTTTTTAACTCTGAGGATTATGGGCTAAAACTATTTGAAAATATATCTCTACATTACTGCTAGGGCTGGTTATCAAAATAGGACCTTCAAAAAAGGGTCTTTTGATCTGAATATTAAAGTAAGATTTATGTCTCCTATTCTATATCCCTTTGCATCCAATCTAAATAACCATCAGATTAATATACAACATTTTACTTTTTTTTTTTTAATGGAGAGAAGCCTCTGACCTTATACAGTTAAAAATCTTATTTTCTACACTGATGTCTGTAAAAAATGACCTGACTCAGAACTGACTCAATAGAAACTCAAATTGAGCTCTCAGTCCTAACTCTGGGTACTTGCCTCTGTTATGCAAAGTACTCACCTCTCTTTCTGACTCCAGAAATAGCAAACAGGTTGCAAGAGACTTGGCTGAAGAAAGGAGACACAAAGTCCCTCTGCTCCTGATCATTGTCCATTTGGCTTGGGGCATGAAACTCTTTCCAAAGGAAAGATGACCTTTGCTTCCAACCTATCTGTGTGGGTGGTTTTGGAAAAATAAAATACATCCATTAGCTTCTACCAAGGCTAAAGGGATTGGATAAAATTACAAGAGGTACAAATCCTTTTTATAGGAACATTTAGGGCTATGAATAAAATAAATAAAAATGAGGTAAAACATAGTAGCAGTGGAGGAGAGAAATCAGAAAAGACCAATTCAGAGTTAAAGAGAATGGGAGAGAGCTTAAGAGGACGGAGACGAGCTTTATCCTCTGCTTTAGACAAGGCAGGATAATTTATGATTTGAATATAGATATAAACATCATAAAGCATGGATATTTTTTGGAGGGTTCAAGTAATATAATGCCCTCTTTTCTACTATGAGTAGTCTGCCTGATTCAGGGTTGAAGGAAAAAATAAAGTGATTGTTGTACACATGGTTGTGCTGAGACAGTGTAGACTCTAAATAAGCACAACCTCTGTATTTGTATTTTGTTTACAATTTCTACAAGTATTTATCAAGTACTTTTACCTGCAAGACATCATACTAGGTATATGAGGCCTTGAGTGGCCCCAAAACATGATTAAGAAGTAAAAGAAACACAAGCATATATATGGATGTGTCTGTGTGTATATACATATATATATATATCTCCGTAAATGACAAATAGGAGTAAATAAGTGGGACATAGAGATTTATTATGAGCATGGCCTGGTATGGACATAGCCAATCTTGAGGTTCTAATTGTAAAATGACGATATGGGCTGCTTAGCTCAAGATTGGACAGGAAAAAAAAAATTAGAAAGCAAGCTTTTAAATCCTGTTCTTGTGACGTAGTATGAGTCAAAAGTCCTGACCCCTTCTGGAGAAGGAAAGCAGGCCAGATACAGAACCACATTTAATTCTAGGTACATTTTTCTAAAATGACTGGTATTTGCCATTTTTGCTAGATTAGCCCTACTACTTATATAAATGGTTTTATACAGGGGGTATTGTAAAGATATGCCAAAAACTTTTTTGTTTTAAATACTTACCATCTCATAGGTGCTGATGTTAGTGTATATTAATAAGAATGATCATAACTGGTTTTGTTCTTAAAAAGAGGAGCTTTTACACCTTTAGCTATATTTGTAGATATATTATTAGCTTATTGATATAAAATTCCTTCTTTAATTGTTCATAAGGTACATCTTGAAAGTTTATCTTCCTAACACCCACTCCCAATTTCCTGTTTTGAAAGTCATTTGCATCACTAGGCCAAGGGTTTCCCACTGAGGCCTGTCTTCTCATGGTTGTAATGTAACTCCAAGGGTCTTTGCGTGTTCTTTCTTCACCTCAGACTTAACTTAGTCACAGATCATACTTCTTCATCTGGAATCTAAAACACCCTAAAATAACTCCAGTTGAATTTTCTTTATCTCTCACCATTCTTCCAAATATTTTCTGTAGTCAAATATGACTTTCTACTCAGGACATACTCCTGAGCTCCCATTTGTTTGGAGATATTTTAGTATTGGACCTTCATGCATGTTTGGAGTCAGTTTATCAGCTGAGTTTTTACTGCACATCCATCAGGGTATTCCTGTTCTGACCCAGACTTCACCTGCCCCTACCTGTTGACTGCCCAGCTGCTTGGAAAAGCCCCAGTGTGGGTTTTACCATCTTGAGAGCACCATGCTCTTGCCAAGAATGGCCCTTTAGAACAGTTTCAACATTTCCATTCTTCAGACATTTAAATGGGGCTGGGGTTTTGCAGCATAAGTAGCGGAGGAGAGTATCCCACAGCCTCCTTGACCCTTCTGTTATACTTTTTAACTTGCACTTTCCAGACTCACAAACTCACAGATATTTCCATCAGTCTCTGCCTCTAAATCTCTGTATTAATTCCCTAGGGCTGTCATAACATGTTACCACAGATTGGGTGGTTTACAACAGAAGTACAAAATCATGGTGCTGGCAGGGCTATACTGTCTCCAAGAATCTCAGGGCACAACCCATTCCTTGCCTTTCCCAGCTTCTAGAGGCTCTAAATACTCCTTGGCATGTGGCTGCTTCACTTCAGTTTTTGCCTCTGTGGTCTCCTTTCACCCTCCTCTTCTCTGTTTCCTTGTTGTGTTTCTCTTATAAGAACACTGGTCACTGGATTTAGGATCCATCTAGAAAATCCAGGGTGATTTTAGCCAAAGATTTTTAACTTGATTTTAGTCTTAAAATGAAAATGGTCTATAAATTCCTTGCAAAACAAAGTCACATTCAAGGTTCTGGTGGTTTGAACATAGACATACCTTTTGGCGGGGGAGGGACAATCACCATTCAAATCATGGAAGCTCAAAATCATTAAAAGGCATCTAGTGAGGAAGACTGTACCCAATGACATAACAATGAGCCCTGTGTTTCCCCTTTTTCTGTGAGGGTTCTGCACAGTCAAAACTTCATCTTTCCTCTTCCAATTACCTAAAATTAGTTCTTATGTATATGAAATAAGACAAACAGATTCTGATATGGTGTGACAGTGTGGTGGAGGAGATAGAAGATGAGGGTGTGGTGGAGGAGATAGAAGATGAAGTGACGTGAAGTCGCTCAGTCGTGTCTGACTCTTTGCGACCCCGTGGACTGTAGCCCACCAGGCTCCTCTGTCCATGGGATTTTCCAGGCAAGAATACTGGAGTGGGTTGCCATTTCCTTCTCCAGGAGATCTTCCTGACCCAGGGATTGAACCCGAGTATCCCACATTGTAGGCAGACGCTTTACCGTCTGAGACACCAAGGAAGCCCTAAGAATATTTTAGGAGAACTAACTGAAAATAATGTATGGTCCTGCCTTGGTTGTATATTTTCTAATGCCTCAACTAAATAAGCAATCTTGAAGCACATCTTACTCCTAAGGTATAATTTTCCTGTTAGTATCTAATAGCATAAATTCTGAATGGTAAATAAATATGGATGAATTATTTTAACGTTTATTAATAACTGCCCCAAATGATTTGGGTTTAAATCTAAAAACTAACAACAAAAGGGTATAAACATATAGGTACTTGTACTAATCAATCATTTGTTACCCATACACTGTATCAGTTTGAGTCCAGAAAAATTTTAACTTCCTGAATCATACCCTCGCGTCAAGAATCTTTCTGGATTCTGTCTTCAGAATACATATTCTCAGTGTTCAGAGTGTAGTTGGTGGACTAGCAGCAAAGACCTGACCTGGGAGTCAGTCAGAAGAGCAGAATCTTAGTGCTCCCGGCCGATACTTACTAAATAAATAATACAGATGTGTGTCCGTCTTTCTAAGGTCTAAGATTTTCTCAAGGACCTCTCTTCTTACTTCTTTAAATGTAATTAACATTTTGTCATCCTAGTTTTTATTTTTATTTGACTTAGTGGAATATGTGCCATTTTCTCAAAAGAGTAAAATAAAAATAGGGAATTATAAGAGTGATGTTACTCAACTAATATTCTCTATTTAATATTTGTTTTATTTAGATCCCCCAATTATTGAAGGAAACATGGAGGCAGCAAGAGCAGTGGATTTAATCCCATGGATGGAGTATGAATTTCGTGTGGTAGCAACCAATACATTGGGTATAGGAGAGCCCAGTATACCATCAAACAAAATTAAAACAGATGGCGCTGGTATGTAGAAAAAACATTTTAAAATTTAAAAGTTTTATAAATTCAGTGACACTTTACTATGTAACTGAACATATTTGGAAATAATGCTGTGAAGTAAGTAAAAACATATATATATATGTATTTCACAGATGTGTGCACATTATGTGCCAAGAAGTCAAAAATCAAAAGAGAAGATATAAAACTTTAAAATATTTTTACATAATTAGTGGGAAAGAGGTAAATAGAGGCAAGTCTGTGATCCTCTATACACTACTTAAATGAATTTGGTGTTTAGACTATAAGTGAAAATGTTAGTCTCAGTCATGTCTGACTGTTTGTGACCCCATGGACTGTAGCTCACCAGGCTCCTCTGTCCGTGGAATTCCCCAAGTAAGAATATCAGAGTGGGTTGCCATTCCATTCTCCAGGGGATCTTCCCTACCCTGGGATCAAACCTGGATCTCTGACATTGCAGTCAAATTCTTAACCATCTGAGCTACCAGGTAAGCCCATTTAGAATATAAATTTTAATGTAAATTGTGAATCTTAACCAGGCAGAGTCATGTAAACAGTTTCCATGATCTAGAAGGCTCACTTTTTTTTCTGTCTTTCACAGACATTTATAATTGAAAGGTAACATGGATGGAAGTATGGGCAGGAGAATAGGATGAGCAGGCTGTGGAGAGAAAGTGATGGAGACTCTCAGATCTGTACACCTGGGGAGTCAGAGCACATTAGAAATAGTCATAATGTGTTCTTTTGAGCATTAGGTGTCACTCTAAATGTGCTCTTTTCAGCTCAACCATAGCTTTTCTTCCAATTTAGGTTCAATTTTTAGCCTGAACACCAACTCCATTTTAATAACTGTTCATACAAGAAATATTCCACTCTGTTTTCCTTCTCCTTTGCATTTCTGGGCAAAAATATTGTTCTGATTCTAATAATAACTTTTCTTTATTATTCCTTGTCTATGAAAATGAAAATGTTTTGTAGACTCTCTGAGTTTGTTTACTTTTACTATGCCTTGCCAAACTTCAGTGCTTTATTTGGGGAAAAATATTTTAAATGGATGACAGAATGCCATTAAAATTCTGCTGTGTTATCTTAATAACATTTATTCACATTTCTGGCTACATCAATCCCTTGGCCTAACTTCTAAATATAATTATGAATTGTACTGTCTTTAGTTTTTAAAGCTAAATTATTCACAGAGACTGCCATCAGTAAACTCTCTCTTAAAGTTGCATGTAACTTCATGTAATTTACCAGATAAAATAGATGATTCTATAATAAAAGAAGAATAGAAACACAAAAATACTGATATGTGCTGAGTATTTTCACATATATTTCAGTTAATCCTCCTAATAATATTTTGAGGTAGGTATTATATTGTTGTTATTGTTCAGGCACCCAGTTGTGTCTG